AAATAATTGTAATTAAACGTGCACTGCAATTTTAGATTTTTGATACAAAAAGAAAATAAGATTTTCTCCACTTGAACCTTGAAATCAACGATAATGGATAGTATAGTATATTAATATATATTTTTAACCTCGCATAATCTAGCAACACGGGATCTGGGGTCAACAAAAATCGTTCCCTGCACCTAATTTTTCGAGGCGTTTTGAATGAGTTGGGAATCATTCAAATCGGACCTGTGGAAGAAGAGAAGTTGCTTGGACATACACACTAACAAACGCACATGCACTGTAATTTATATATAAGATTCTGTCATATAAAATATTATAAACCTGTCAAATTCTATAGTGAAAATTTTATCTAATACCAATTTCAGTCTATGGATTTTTTGATGCATTCTTCAGGCTTAGCAAGTCTGTGTCTGACATTTTGCGTACTTGTGTTATTGTTTTTATTTTTTACTTCTCGACTAACCTAAACTATAGATTTTTAATATTGCTAGGACTTCTGATCGACTAGCCGACCTTCAGACCGCCATTAGACGTCAGTATAATGGCCAAAACCGGAAGTGATGTTACGACGGCCATTACATTGATAGACTAAAGTCCAGTGTCTACCATCCGGGAATGTTTTGACGGAAGTCAGATAGAAAACTAATGTTTTAGCGTCGTAAGTAAAATATAAATACATGGAGGCAGAAGGAGAGATGGAAATGAGGAAAAACGAAAAAAAAAAAAAGATGTCATAGAAAAAGAGAATGAAAGAAAGAAAGGAAAGTGAAGGAAAGAGATAAATGAACTCGAAAAAGAGAAAAAGGAAAAAAAAGAAAAAAAAAAGATAAAAGGAAGAGCGGGAAAGAGGAAGAAAAAATAAGGAGACAAACGAAAAAGAAAGAAAGAAAGAAAGAAACAAAAAAATAAGAAAGAAAGAAAGAAAGCAAAAGAGGGATGGAAATAAGAGAAAACAAGAGAAAGAAAAAAAAGAACAGCGAAAAGAAGAAAGAAAGATAAAAGAAGGGGAGAAAAAGCAAGAAAGAGACTGGGTAAGAAAGAGATAGCCAGACAGATAGATAGATAGAGAGAGAGAGAGAGAGAGAGAGAGAGAGAGAGACAGACAGACAGACAGACAGACATGACATGACATGACAGAACACTCTAGAATCTGTAAAATCCAGTAATTAGAGTGAATGGACGTAGAACTATAATACAATAAAAAATTGAGACGAGGTGCTTGAATTTGGGTTTTGAGAGTGGCAGACATTTTTGGCTTTTCTAACGATCGGTATTTCAAACTAGTTGCAAGTAATGGTTTATAACTATTTCAGACTAGTTGCAAATAATGGTTCATAAAAGCGGAATTAAAAGACTATTGGCGCAGCATAACTTACAGCTCGCTATTTTCAACATACGACCTTATGGCAGACAACGTAAAGAATAACAAATGTGAACATTTTAAATCTATCTATCTATCTATCTATCTATCTATTCATCTATCTATCTATCTATCTATCTATCTATCATTTGCATATTTCTAAACAGAGCCACTTCCGTAACCTTTGCAACAGCTCAATTCTAACAGATCAATATATATATATATATATATATATATATATATATATATATATATACGAGGGTCATTCAATACATAAAATGAATTTTTCGGTATAAGGACTTCTAATACAGATAGAAGCTTACTTTTTTAATTTTTTTTTTGTTTTACTTCTTTTTCACTTTTAATTTCTTTTGCAGATTAAAAAAAAAAAACTTTGAGAGTTTTGGCGATTAACAAAGATGGCCAATTAAGAAGCATGTTCCAGGATTGAACAGCGATCACTTATCAAGTTTTTGATTGTTGAAGGGTACAAACCAGTTGAAATTCATAGGAGAATGTCAACTGTGTATGGTGCTACATGTTTCAGCCAAAAAAATGTCTACAAGTGGGCTAAATTGTTTAAAGAAGGACGGAGCAGTGTTGAGGATGAAGGCAGGCCTGGGAGACCTACAGAAGAGAGGTCTCCTGAGGTGATCAAATCAGTCAATGACCTCATTCAGTCTGACAGAAGAACTACTGTGAACTGCAGAGGCAGGTCAAGAAAGACAAAGAACAAACGCAGGGGGTCATCAGTCAGAAGGAGTCATCTTGCATCATGACAACGCAAGGCCTCACACAGCAGCCCAAACGGTGCAGACCATCAACAAGCTGGGCTGGGAACTGCTCCCTCATCCCCCTTACAGCCCAGACCTTGCCCCTTCAGACTTTCACCTGTTTGGTCCCTTGAAAGCGTTCATGAGAGGCACGAAGTTTAAAAGTGACGATGAAGTCAAAAGTGTTGTCAGCGACTGGCTGAGACATCAGTCCAAAGATTTTTATGCTGACGTAATACGGAAGCTTGTGCAGAGATGGGAAAATTGTGTGACAGTGCTGGGAGACTACGTTGAAAAATAAAAAAAAGTAAGCTTCTATCTCTATTAGAAGTCCTTATACCGAAAAATTCACCTTATTTATTGAATGACCCTCGTATATATATAAATATATTAGGATTTTTATCTGGCGATTGCAAAGGGCGTGAAACCCTGGATCACAAACTCACAATAATACAACTAAATATTGAGAGCTTTCCAATATGTACCGTGAATATATAATATATGAATTAAATATATAAAAATTGCATATATATATATATATATATATATATATATATATATATAGAGAGAGAGAGAGAGAGAGAGGGGGTTCCAGAAGTCACACGACAATTGGCAGAAAATATAATGTTATGAAATAGCAACCAAGGAAATTTTGCATGGCAGCATCTTCCGTAATTTGACCAATAATATTTCTTAATAATATATTGTCACATACGGAATATGACAATTGTATACAAAAATTTACAAGGTTATCAATGGTAATGCGATTTTAGAACACTGTTTTGATATATACACATGCGCACACACTCAAATATATATATATATATATATATATATATATATATATATATATATATATACATGAATTATTCACAAAAACTAATGCAATGTTAATTATTTCAAATGGCATGAGTTATTATCCATCTCGTAGTAATTGTAAAATAACAAACTAAAATATAGAAATTTATATGAACAAGGAACAAATAATTCATTCGGATCTGAAATTTTTGTTCAAATATTTGAATTGTTTTATGAGATGGATGTCTTAGCCATTTAAAAATCATTAACCTTGCATTAGTTTTGTGATGAATAATTCATGTATTTGTAAATTGATTGCACGTTTATTGTAATTTAAATATCTGATCCATGTTTTTTTTTTTTTGGTTAATAAGTGCGACATTACTGTAATTATTGAACAATATAGTTCATGCCACTTTGACAGTAAAATTTACCAGTAAAATAATTTGTTCATTACCATATTCGGTATAAACGCAAACATTTAAAAAAGAAAAATTCAAAATCAAACTTAGCGTTGCTTTGGCGCGTTCAAAAACCAATATCTCATTTTCAATAGCATTTCGGATACAATACACATATATTTTCGATGTCCTCTTATTACTAAGAGAAAAAACAAGAACAACATGTATTATATACCTGAAGATGTCTGTAGGAACAGACGAAAGCTTGTGTAAAATAACAACTAATACGGCAGAAATTTATATGAACAAGGATCAATTCATTCATAACGGATCTGAGGTTTTTGTGTAATATTTGAATTGTTTGCGAGATGGATGTCTCGCCATTTAAAATCATTAACCTTTGCATTAGTTTTGTGTGAATAATTCATGTATTTGTAAATTGATTGCACGTTTATTGTATATATATATATATATATATATATATATATATATATATATATATAATGTATGTGCGTGTGTGTGTCTGTGTGTCTGTGTGTCTGTGTGTGTGTGTGTGTGTGGTAACACGTCTGTATATTTGTCATAAATTTGCCTGTATATTTTGAAATCTGAAAATGCATTACGATTGTGAAAGATGCCTTCGAAAAGATAAACAATAAGCTAAAAAACAGGAAAATTTCACTGGAAACGAAAGATTATTGAACTGTTATCTAATATCGGTACTCCTGTATGCTAGTGAATGATGAACCATCTACGTCCATGTGTAGAGGAGACTTCAGACGATAGAAATGTGGCTCTACAGAAGGATGTTGAGAATAACATGGACTAAACACGTGAGTAACGAAAAAGTTTTAGAGAAAATAGAAACAAAAAGGACACGTGTATGTAGAAACAGAGACAGTTGAAATTTCTAGGCGCATAATGAGGAAAGATGGCTTGGAAAATTCAGCACCCACAAGGTATAATGAGGGAAAGAGGCACACAGGAAACTAAGGAATAATCTAACGATTTTGTGTAAATGGTTGGCAAAGCTATTTCCTGCTCGCACTGAAGGGACAAGTCAGATAGAAAAAGAATAACACAATTGTGTAAATGATTGACAAAAAAAAAAAAAAAAAAGAATTGACAAAAAAAAAAAAAAAAAAGAATTAGGTGATATAGGAAAAAGATTAAGGGTTACAAGATATAGGAAGTTGTGAAGAGCCATAATCACCCACGTCCTGAAGGGAGATGGTTTGGTTTGGGTTGTTTTGTTTTGCGGCATATCAACCTCAATGTGTTATTTAATGTCGACAAGATTTCTATTGCTGGTAATATATTTTTTAGAAAAAGCTAATTTTGGTAACATCTTTCGAAAAATGTATTGCTGTTAATAATTTTCCCAAAAACTATTACTGGTATTAAAACCTATTTTTATACTTTCATATTGTTTTCACCCCAGTTTGGGGGTTAACTATTTACCCATAGCTGGGACTCTAACAGGTGTATCTAAAGACTGGTATTTAAAAGGCATGACAGTGGATTGCCCTGACGGCTTCGTGGCGCTAGGCGCCAAGACTAAGTGTGAGGAGCCATATATTTTACCAATCTTGTGTTCCATCTGCACTCTTGAGAACTAAATAAAATTAACTGCAATTTACGTAAACTAAGCAATATAAAGGCTTACGGCCCTATCAGGTTGAAACACCGGTTCTCGTCCGAAAATCGAAGTTAAGCGATGTTGAACCTGGTCATTACCTAGATGGGAGATCGCTGGGAACACGAGCAATTAAGAGGTGGTCCACGATCCACAAAACCTCCTGATCAGAAGCCTTGCTTTTGGATGTAGTTTATCGTCTTACCCAGGACAGCGACGACGACGAAACGACGACGACGAAGAAGAAGAAGAAGAAGAAGAAGAAGAAGAAGAAGTAAAAAGAAGAAGAAGAAGAATTGATTCATGGAGAAACAAATAAATTGCGACATGTCGTAACTCGAAAAAGAAATAATAAACGTAAATAACTTAATAAAAAAGCAGAAATGAGATAATAAAAAGAAACATAGACAAAAGAACTATAAAAAAGAAAGAATGATCAGAAAAATTAAAAGAACAGCATAAAAAAAGAGAATAATATATTAGAAGCAAACGAGGGAGAAAATGAAGAATAAATGTAAAAATGAGAAAAAAGAAAACGATAAAGAAAAGAGAGAGAGAGAGAATGAAAATGGAGAAAGATAAATTTAAGAGAGAAAAAAATCAAATGAAGAGAGAAAAAAAGAAATGAAGAAGAAAAAGTGAACAAAGGAAAGAAAAGGAAAAAATTAAAAGTGAGGAATGTAAAATAAAATAAAAAATGACTTATAAAGAAAAAATGAATAATAACTACTAAAGAAATAAAGAGAGAGGGAGAGACGACAAAGAAAGAAATAAAGAATGAAGGGGTGACTAAAAAAACAAAAACAAAGAAAAACGGAAGGAAATTTTTTAAAAATGGCTCTTTAAAATAACGAAAAGGAGAGAGAAATGAAAACGAAAACTAGAAAAAAAATGTACTAATAAGGAAAAAGAGAGAAATGTAAAAGAAAGAATGTGTGACAAGAGGAAATACAAAAGAAAAGAGAAAAAAGAGGAACAGAAGAACAGCCAAAAAAAAAAGTGAAAGATGTAAGTTATCATAGAGAGAAGAAGAAGAAGAAGAAGAGAAGGGACAGACAAGAGAAAAAAATAGTTAAAAAAATGAATGAATGTAAAATAAAAAGGTAAAAAAGGAATGAAAATGAAAGAAAATAGAAAAGTTAACAACTAAAGAGAAAGAGAGAGACAGAGAGAGCGACGTGAAAGAAAACGGTAAAAATAAACAGAAAAGACAAGCAGGAAGAAAAGAGAAAAAACAAAATAGAGAAAAAGTAAGCAAAAAGACGTCGAAGCAAATGAAAAGGGATTTTGCTCAATAAAAGAAAGTAGAAAAGACCTTTTTCTATAATACAAGACCCAAGCAAACAAAAATAGAAAGAGACAATCTACAATAAAATAGCAGAAAACAAAATATAAAATTAGTAAAAAAAAAAAACGTTAAAGGCTCTCAAATATGGCGGCAGACACAACCCAAAAGAGCAATAAAAAGTGTAGCAATAAACCCGAAATCAAAACATACACACAGAGACACACAAAAAGAAAAAAAAATCTTGAAAGCCATTGGACACAAAGAGCTACAAGCAAGAAGTAATGAACAGAAGACGCTCGATAAAGAATTGCCCGCCTCCACAGAAAATGCTGAATCCACGCGATTTTTTATTGTCTGTTATGTTTGGTATTTAGTATATATATTCTCTTTGGCACATAAAGCATGTCCGCGTGTTTTTCCAGCCATTTCTGATAGGGTTTATAGCGGACATTTCCCTATTGTTGATGCCCTAATTCGTTTTTTCAGTGTTTTCCTTATCAGCACTGTCTTTGTATTGGTATTTTTAAAACATTATATATATATATATATATATATATATATGTGTGTGCGCATATATATATATGTGTATGCATGTATTCCTTCCTTTTCTATTTGGATTTCTTTTATAAACACTCTTGCTATTAAAAAACAAAAACAAACAATACCATAAAACAAAACAAAAAACAGCATAAAAAATATTTAAAAAGAAATATGACTTCATTAGTCTTCTGAGTATAGATTTACATAGATAGCAAAATGAAGTTTTTATTTATTTACTTAAGAGCTTAAAAGCTGCACCCCATGGTCCAGCTGAGAAAACAGCAATGATAATTTTGAAGAAATAATTTGAATTCCTTAATTCACTCAATGAAATTTCAAAACCTAATTTTAACTTCCACTCAGGCTATTTATTCCAATTCCAAATCAAAAGACCAATTTCGACTAAAAGTCTGATTTGGGTCGAAATTTCGATATCAGATTACAAACTCCATGGAACTTTAAATCAAAAACTCTGCAGAAGTTCAAACCTCGCAAAATCTCTCATTTTAACTCTGATTCTTTGACATTTTGAAGAAATAAAATATCCTCTATTTACAAAGTCTTGGGGTTATTTTAAACTGTATTTAAACAAAAAAAAGTTAAATTCACAAAGGTTTTTGTTACTTTAAGCTCAATATAGATAAAAACAATCATTATTTTTTTTCAATTATTTTAAAATTTGAATTTTTAACTGCCCCCTCCCTATCAAGACACAAATCCCAAAGAATGTTGAAGAACCAGATAAAGGACAGACATTTAATGTTGGGATCATGCTGATTCGAAAACGTTATAATATGTGGCCTGAATTAGAAGGGTTTCAGATACACGAACAAACAGAGAATTTGCAGTTTATTTATTAAGATTTCTTTTTGGGACACACCATTTTCCAGATAGAAACAAGATATTTATTTCGTTTTTTTTTCTTTATTGATTGGTTTGGTTTTTTTACGACTTATCAACTTTTTTTAGGCAATTTAAAGCCGAAACACATTTTTATTGTTTTTGGACAAAATACACATTTTCTAATGCGAGTCTTACTATTTAATCCATAGCGGAGAGGAGAAGAGGTGAATTCTTATGTTTGCTATGGATATTTACACATAAGTGAATATAACAAACTCGAATTCGAACTGAGCTATCCACTATCCATTACAACACCCGGACAACCAAGCTTACAACACCTGATATTCCACAGATGTCTCTCATCTAGGTAATGACCAGGTTCAACATCGTTTAACTTCGATTATCGGACGAGAACCTGTGTTTCAACGTGATAGGGCCGTAAGCCTTTATATTGCTTAGTTTGTGTAAATTGCACGTAGTTTTTATTTAGATCTCACGAGTGCAGATGGAACACAAGATTGGTAAAATATATGGCTCCTCCCACTTAGTCTTGGCGCCTAGCGCCACGAAGCCGTCAGGGTAATCCACGATCATGCCTTTTAAATACCAGTCTTTACATACAAAGCAAGAAGCAGTGGGCTGCTATGTGTCATTTAATTCCCTATATAGAGTGGAGGCTGGGAAATATTGGCAAAGAAGAAGAGACCTAAAGAGACAGAGATGTTCATTTATGGGTCGATTCTGTACAAGGGACATGACATGAGATGAAATGGGAAACAACAAGAAAATATAGTTTTTGTTTAAATCATTTCACCCCAAACAAGGCAATAAAGTCACTAACACGTAAGGTGTAACTGAATGTAAGAAAATATGAAAAAATAAATAAAATAAAGCATTTTTAAAGAGAAAGGACAATGAGAGAACAGGAATTAAGAAGACAAAATAACGATAGCATTTACATTTTTGACTGGAACGAAAGAAAGCGGAAGAAAGTTCGACGAGCGGGAATTGCGAGAGAAGAAACTATTAGCATAGAACTTACGGTTATATTTAGCAATTCTAACTGTAAAAGGATGAAACCTTGTCGTCAATCTTGTACTGCGTTCAAATTCATAAAATCTAAGTACCAGAGAGGTAAGTTTATCAAAACAATTACCAAGAAAATATTTATAGAAAAGGCACAGGGAAGCTACGTTACGGCGATGGGAAAGTGACTGAAACCGAGATGCCAGTTCAGGACCAATAACATTGCAGATTCTCCTTTATAATTTATTATTAATCTCTAGATATATAGCAGAAGCACTAGACAAGACGTAACAGTAATATTTAATGCATTGAAGGACAGTAAACTTATAAATGTGTAAGATAGATTCTGGAGAGAAGAATTGCCAACCACGACTTTCCTAACATGAGACCTAGCAATTGGCGCAATATAATCTTTCCACTTCATGTCAGTGGAAAAATGTATCCCTTTATTCTTTTGTCATTTCAAGATATTGGTGATCATGGTTTTCTACGCCTTTCTGTTCTTGCTTATAATTTAAATAATTATAATATAAAATAATTATAATACGAAAGAGACAGTTGACCTTTCTTGGGGCACATAATGTCGGTGTGATGCTTAGAGAAGACGCAGCGGGCCTGCTGAAGAGAAGAGAAACAAAAGGGTGTGAACGTCCTGGCTTTGTTCAAACTTTTGGTTACACAAGATAATGCGTTCTCTCCCAGAAAATATGACTAGTGTCCGTTCAGCATAATTGCAGTATAAACAACAGGTCGGTTCTATGTGCAGTGAACAAACGCAGATGTGTCTTAGCAGGTTTTTGCAAAAGGGATTGGTGAGTAGCGATAGTAGACAGGCATCCTCAGGTACGGGTGGCCAGCAATCACTGGGCATGAGAAACCCATTTTCATGGACATTGGTTTAAAGAGAAATATTTTATACAAATCCTGCTTGATCGCACACACGTGTATCACCAACACAATTCCTTACTTTCCATATCTTCTTCTTTTAAATGTATGCTCTTATGTTTTCTTTCTTTTACTCAGATTCTTTTACTTTTTTCTTCTTTTTCTTTTTCTTCTTTCTTTCTTTTTTTTTCGTTTCTTTTTTCTTCTTTTTGTTGTTCTTCTTTTTTTCTTTGCCTTCTTTTTCCTTTTTTCTTCTTTTACTTTTTCTTCTTTTCCGATCTTCTTCTTCTTTCTTTTTCTTCTTTTTCTTGTTCTTTTAGTTCTTTTTCTTCGTTTTCGTCTTTGTTGTTCTTTTTGTTCTTTTTTGTTTTTTTTCTTTGCCTTCTTCTTCTTTTTCTTCTTCTTTTCGTTCTTTTTCTTCATCTTCGTCTTCTTTTAACTTCTTTTTTCTTCTCCTTGTTTTTCTTCGTTTTCTTCTTTTCCTTCATATTTTTCTTCTTGCTTTCCTTCATTTTTCTTCTTCTTCTTTTCCTTGTTTTTCTT